TAATAAATAATTGAATAATGTTTTTTTGTTTACTTTTATTTCAATCTTTACACAAAAGTTTCAGAATCAGTTGTCTGATGATCATCCAATACAAAAACATCATTGAACTTTTCTCTCACCTGGGCAACAATATCAGGATGACAGAAAGCATTAATTAAATTCTTAACATGAGAGTTGAAGTCAGAAGCTTGTCTTTGTGTCATTGCCATTGCATGTCTCTCCTTTGATGCACAACTGCATGTTGTATCCATGAGACTTCTTAGTTGTTCAGAGTTACAGGATGACACCAATTTTGCATTCCCCATTTCCAATAATGAGGAAAGTTCAATTTGGTCTGATGATTCCATCTTTAGCTGTTTTGCGGGAGGTTCTTTAAGTTCTGAGCACTTTCGTCTAAATTGTTTTACATTATTTGCACAGTGAGAGATAATACTTGCAGAGTGCTGAAGATCAAATAAAACTACATCGTTTTCATTGGGATTTAAAATTTTGCTTTTTTCGTCAGTTGACAAATTTTTTGACACTTGAGAAATTAATAACTGAACAAAAGCTTCATCCAAACGACTAACATCATCTTCTGGGTTTGTGGGCAGCCATGTGTTAATACTGATTGAAAAATCTAAACTCTCTACATAATGCCACCAATGCCGAGGAACAAATAATACATCCCCTGGCTTTAGATCAACTATGTATGCTTTGCAGTTGCGTCTGGAGTAAAATTCAGAAGGCAGAGGGCAGTTAAAATTCCACAAACTGTACACACTGGACTCTTCATAAGGAACACGAGTTGGCCTCATATCTTTCATATCCTCATGAGGAAACAAAATCCATCTTTTTGTACCAATCACTTGAGCAACAAGATTACATCCGTAAGTATCAAAATGACATGGGGTATGGGCTCCCTCACTTCCGATCCAAATAGTTGAATCCTCCGCTCCTTTTTCTGGAAATCCAAAAGCATCCCATTTGATTGAGATTAAATCATTGATCTCGGCACTAGTCCAATCACTGATTTGTTGATAATCAAAATAGAACCACTTCATTCCATCTTCAGTTGGTTCAGTATGCTCAAGTTTGAGACTGCAAAATTCCTCTAAAGTCATCATTTCTTTGGAACATTTTCCTTCCCATAATGGATCAGGAGAACAAGATTTAACACCACACCTAAAGGGCAACTTTCTTTCCCCAAATACTGAACTCCAATCTTTTAACTCCCATTTTAAAACAGACCAATTTTCAATCATGCCATGGAAAATGACTGGTTCCGACAGAGAAACCACAACTTCTTTCGACAACTTTTTCCCTTCACTCATGTTCAAGGTGGTGTTTTCAAAACTTGCTGTACGACTTGTCAGGTAATCACCGAAATCCGAATTGTTTTCTCTCCTAGCCCTAGCCAGCCCTAGCCTCGCGCGGCCTCATTGACAACACCGATCAGCTGATTGCGCGCTGCATTCAACTTGAAGTGCGACTGCCAATAAAGTTTTCATGCTTATGCGCCCTACACCCGTTCCCGTTATTCGTCCTACCTACTACTACCTAGTAGTACCGCTATTATTGTATTTCGGTAGCAGTTTCCAGTTCAGATACCCTCTAGAGTTTTGAGTTCTTAGTTTTATCATCAGTTAAACTTTACAGCAATGTATCTAGTGTGCAAATCTTTCCCCTTGTATCGTCTTTTCAAAATAATATCTATCTACACATGACTGAAATAACCTATTGTTATTGTTATTTGTAGATTGTAGATCTTGGATATTACTCAAATTTTTGTGCAGCTGTCTTTGTATCTCCATTGATTAGGTAGTAAAATGGATGTTGTCACTATCGAATCCGATGTTGACATTCTCTATTCACGTAAGCTGTCTGAAGAAAAGTCTCCAAGAGGTCGATGTAAAACTAGTGTCCTTTGGAATGCTCTACTTTCTATCATAGCAGTTATTGTTCTATTAACACTTTTATTGGAGTGCAAAGATTATCTCAAATCCATATTAATATGGATCAATAATCAGGATTCAAATGCAGTTTTCATATTATTTGTTGGCTTATTTACCCTTGTTTCTTTTCCTTTTGTCTGGGGATACATGCTCCTTACAGTCGCGTGTGGTTATTTTTTTGGCGTGGTCCATGGTTTTATAACTGTTGTATTTTCTGCAAATCTTGGTGTAGCTATAGCACACGTTACCATTCGTGCTTTTAATATGAAATTCCACATAATCAAATTAGTCAATTATGATACAATGCATGCTATACTGAGAGTAATATCTGGACCACAGGCGTTTAAAGTTGTTGCTCTTGCACGTGTTTCTCCCATACCATTTGGTATTCAAAACACAATATTTGCTGTGAGTTGTTTATTTTGTCGTTTTTTAAAATTTTGGTTTCTATGTATGTGTTTTCCTTATTTAGTAAGATCTTATTTTCTTGTAATATTTTTCAGTTGAGTGGTATCAGTACCGGGCAATACCTTCTGGCTACAGTCATTGGATTGTTGCCAGCACAGTTGATTAATTTATATCTTGGAAGTACACTTCGTTCAATTGGAGATGTTATATCAGATCATGCATCAACTCCTCTCACTGGTTACATCATGTTTTGCATCCAGGTAAGCAAGCACATGCAATGTCACATAGTCATTTCACATGGTCAGTTATCATTTGAATTAGATGACATGAAATTAAACTTTTGTTTTAAACAATCATTCCAGATTACAGTTGGAGTTTCCTTGATGGCTTACGTTATACACAAAGCAAGAGTGGAGCTACGTGAGGCATTAATTAATCAAGTACCAGCAACAAGCATACATGGATTGAAAGGTGCCTCAGATTTCATTGTGTAAACAGCTCTGTACTCAGGTAACTTATGCTGTCACCACATTTTATTGTATTTTATTTGTTTTTAAATGACTGACATTTTAAATGAATGTGATCCAGGAGTGCTATAGCCATTGTTTCTACCTCAGATGTAATACTATTTACAAACTGTTCTAATTTGAAGTAGGACAACATTTTTTGTGCACATATCCACTATTTACTGGTGATCTAACTTTTAATTTTAATTTCAAAATCAATATCTTTCA